GAATGGTCTTTACAAAAATAGTTTGGAAAAGTCTCAAAACCATGAGACTACTATAGTCTTCAACAACAGTGACAACAAACAGCAAACCCTGGGTAAGAAGTGAATCTGACGTCCAAAGTTAACACATTACAAACGTAATCAAATGCCCAGTTTTCAACAACAACAAAATCACAAGGCATACAAAGAAACAGGAAAACACAGCTCATTCAAAGGAACAAAATCAACTGTCCCTGAGAAAACTCAGACATGGAACTTACTAGATGAAGACTTTAAACAATCATCTTAACTATGCTCAAAGAGCTAAGGAAAAGACATGAACAAGGAACTAAAGTTAATCAGGAAAACAAAATGTGAATGAAATGAGAATATCAACAAAGAGATAGGAACTGTAAAAAAGAACCAAACAAATATTTCAGAGCTGAGAAGTACAATAACTGAATTGAAAATTTCACTAGAGGGGCTCAATAGCAGACTTGGACAGGCAGAAGAAAGAATCAGCAAATTTGAAGACAGGACAATTAACATACACATTGTGGGAGTCCCAGGATGAGAAGAGAGGAAGGGTAAGAGAGAATATTTGAAGAAATAATGGCCAAAAATTTCCCAAATTTAATGAAATCCATGAATTTACAAATCTCCACAAACTTCAGGTAGGATAAACCCGGAGACCTATACCAACACACATTACGATTAAACTGTCAAAAGACAAAGAAAGAAGCTTAAAAGCAGCAAGAGAAAAGTGACTCATCAAGTACAAGAGATCCTCAATAAGATTATCAACCAATTTATCATTAGAAACCTTGCAGGCTAGAAGGCAGCGAGATGAAGGAAAAGTGCTGAAAGAAAAAAACTGAGAATTCTTTATCCACCAAAACTGTCCTTCAAAAATGAAGGACAGGGGCTTCCCTGGTGGCACAGTGGTTGAGAGTCCGCCTGCCGATGCAGGGAACATGGGTTTGTGCCCCGGTCTGAGAGGATCCCACATGCCGCGGAGCGGCTGGGCCCGTTAGCCGTGGCCGCTGAGCCTGTGCGTCCCGAGCCTGTGCTCCGCAACGGGAGAGGCCACAACAGTGAGAGGCCCGCGTACCGCAAAAAAAAAAAAAATGAAGGGCATTCACTTCATTTTTGACATTCCCTGGAATGTTAAAGGAGGGACATTCCCTGGGAAAGGACATTAGCAGATAAACAAAAGCCAAAGAATTTAAAAGGCAAATGCATAAAAACAAGCATAAATCTATGGTATTGGGTACATAATAATAAGATATAATTTGTGACACCAGAAATGGAGGTGGGGAGTTAGAACTTTATAAGAGAAGAGTTTCTGCATGCTACTGAGGTTATTAAGTAGGCAACTTAAATTTGATAGTTATAACTTCTGGATGTTATATGTAATCCCCATGGTACCACAAAGATATATGATATACACAAAGATAAGTTTTTAGGATGAATGACTAAATTATCAATTATGCCATGCTGATGTTAACAAAATTTCTTTTCAATTTAAATAAAGTATGACTTGCAGAGAACTATCAACGAGCTACATTACATAGATCCTGCCCGAATGGGTCTTAAAACTCCCATGACAAAGCATACACATTTGAAACATTTAATTAATAACACAGAACATAATTTATTAAATAAATTTTAATCAAATATACATATAAGGAAGTAGTACAGGTGACTATGAAAAAGATGAATCAGTGAAGCTAACAGTTATAACTGAGAATGCCCTTGAAGGACATAAAACTTCTAAGATGGGCAAAAAAATTACAGAAGGAAAAAAAAGTATTAGAGTTGATTTTATTCTAAATGGCAGCTCAGTTACTTTTTAATTGTAATTTTTAATTTTAGGTAACTCAGTTACCTAATCCACATAAACAATAGTAGCTTTAATATTCTTTTCTGTGTAATAAAAACAATAAAAAAATCTATTTGTTTATTCCAGATTTACATCTCAGGGCCTAACCTCTCTAATCAGGTCCAACTGGCACTGATGACCCACTTCACTGCTCACTTAAATTTATACCAGGTGGATTTTCCCTCCACAAACCTTTCCTTCTCCAGTTTCTTCCATCTCAAAATAAATGAAACCACCATCCATTAAGTTGCTCAACTATCCTTGATTTACTTTTCCCTCACCCTAACCCCTAAATCCAATCCATAAATGGTGCCATTGAATCCACCTCCAGAGTAAATCTGAAATCCATTCATTCTTAGTCTAAGCCACCATCATTTCTCACCTTACTTAACAGCTTTTTAATTTGGTTTCCATACTTCTATACTTGGCTCACTACAATACATTCTATTAATATAATAAGGTCAAAATAATCTTCTTAAAATATAAGTCATGCTATTCCCCACCTAAAATCCTCTAGCTCTATCCCAAATTAATTTCCACCACTTAGAGCCAATGCAAATAGTTCCCAAATGGTTGACAAGAGCGAGGTTTTGTCTCTCGTATTACTTTCTACTTGTTTCTCTTTCTAAAGGAAGTAACAGATGCCAGAGAGGAAGTTCTCTTCTCGAGTTGGCTCTGAAGCCAGGTTGCCTAGGTTCAAATCCTGGACAGCTGAGCAATCTTGGGGAAATTACTTAAGCCTCTCTGGGTCTCAGTTTCCCCTAGCTAAGATCACTTTTTGGCTGATTGGCTAAACTTGTTAATAGTTACTACTCAATAAGGGTAGTATATTATAGGGGGAGGGAGCAGGGAGCTGTATAATAAACAACTGGTATTACCAATGGATAAATGCAAACCTGCTCCTTAATTATCCAGACATTTATTTCGGGATCACTATGGCCATTCTCCTCCTACTTACACTGCATCCAACTTTGGGGGGAACACTAAACCTTAAAGAAAATGGTTCCTAAATTAGACTACTAAGCACATTCACCTTCCAGTCATACAACTGCAGACCACTGAGGATCAGCACTCAGAGCCACCACACCAACTATGCTATCCACACACTTAGGTGCACCATGATAACGCTGGTTAGAAAAATGTTCGAAGCAATGCCATTTATAATAGCAGGAAAAAGAGAAACAAGTTAAGTAAATGTACCCAAAAACCCAACAGCTAAAGAAGTGATGGCAAATCAACATAAAGAAAATACTACAGGGCAAGTACAAGGGGATATATAGATGAAATCTGCTATGGGGGAAAACATGAGGTGAAATATATATATATTGATTACAACTTCATAAAAGTTGTAATGGATTTCTTTTATTTTCTATAAAATGCAAGTTTGTTTTAAAGTTTTAAAGAACATACATGTTGTGAGCCCAGACGGTCTCTTATGGTCCCTTCCAGCTCTAGTATTTAATGATCCTATGAAAACCTCAAGTGTGCAATACCTTGAAAAACTGATAAATAGTATATGCACATTACAATATCAGGTGTCAGAGATGTGCTCTACCCAAGAGACTCCAGGGGTACTGGGTTGCAGGACTGGACCAAGAACTAGTCATATAATATTCTATTGTAGTACCTTGACCCTTTAAAATGACAAAGCATGTGTAGGCAGTACTAGTTGCAAATTATTTCGCCACAGAAATGAAATATTGAATTCTGGCTAAAGTGTTACACTTCTTTTCCACACAGGTCTCTCTCAGTTATTTTCCACAAAGTAATTTTAAAAAGCAAGCAAAGAAACACCAAACCAAAACCCACCCATAGAATCCAAATATCTAGTTTTATGCCCTGAAATATGTTTTAAAGATGTTTGAATATTATATTGGACCGCAAATCAACCAAGAGGAAGAGGGAGATTTGATCTGAAAACAATTATTTTAATCCATCAATGATTTCTGTATAAGTCTTATATTTGGATTTTGAAGTACTTTATTATAAAATTCACTTAAAAAATCAATGTAAAGTACAATATGCAAAAAACCCTACATACATAATAGAATAACAACAATGAAACAAAGTATATTGGAGGGGGTCCCTCATTTTTTAAAATTCTGCCTTACTAAAAATAGATCAACAGGGACTTCCCTGGTGGCGCAGTGGTTAAGAATCTGCCTGCCAATGCAGGGGACACGGGTTTGAGCCCTGGTCTGGGAAGATTTCACATGCTGCGGAGCAACTAAGTCCGCACCACAACTACTGAGCCTGTGCTCTAGAGCCCGTGAGCCACAACTACTGAGCCCACGTGCCACAACTACTGAAGCCCACATGCCTGGAGCCTGTGCTCCACAACAAGAGAAGCCACCGCAGTGAGAAGCCCGCTCACCGCAACAAAGAGTAGCCCCCGCTCGCCACAACTAGAGAAAGCCCGCGTGCAGCAATGAAGACCCAATGCAGCCAAAAATAAATAAATAAATTTATTATTTTTTTTAAAAGATCAACAATCCAATCCCCGCCTTTAGTTTCTACATGAGCTGCTTATATTTTCGGGGTGTAGATGAGGTTGACTATAAATTTAGTAAGATTACTTTTAAAAATTTACTTTTACTTTAAAAAAAAGACTTACTTTTAAAATTTTGTAGGATTTACGAGATCACTTAGAGGACTGCCAAGCTAAATGCGCCTGACTCCAAATGCACCTGACATACGCAAATGCAAACGGTGTAAAGCAGGATTTAAAAACCAGTGGATCTCTATTTCCTTATTCTTTCATGAATCACAGCTAAAATGTGAAATCAATTTTCTTACTAAAAGCTTACTATCACTTTTGTGCTTTAAGGAACACAGGCTATTAAAACGTAAAGTTAATCATATACATACAATAGATGATCAGTGAACCATTAAAAACACTGTGAAGAATACATGAAATTAAATTAATACACATGGCACACTGCTGTCTGTAGAACTATACACATACACACACACACAAGCCAGAAAAGGATATACAGTACTGACATATAGTGTACCCAGGTGGTGGTTCCCCCCACTCTCTTTTTGGGGAACACTGACATTTTCTAATTTTTTTTATAATTAATATTTGTTGTTAGGCAATATCTGTGAGCCTCAGCTGTGATTAATCTCTGAACTGAATTACCTGACTCAAAGCTGGGATGGAGCTTGTCTGAGAAGTGGTTTGAGATATGGGACCATTCATCTGTAAAATCGAAAACACCAAACACACCATCACAACAGTGTAAAGAAACATATTTTCAAACCATAGTAATTTAGCAAAACAAAACCCACTGAGAAAAGCAAATTTTTACATGACAAAGAAATTCAATGAGATATTCAAAATGATGTAGGAGCCTTGAAATTTAAAATATTTTGAAATTTTGACTGAACACCATTAAGTAAAATTCCTTGTAGTTTCCACAGGGAAAATTAAGAAAACCTACTTTTCCCAATGTCATTTAGAAACTTTAAATATTATTGCTTGACATGATAAAATCTTACAATAAACAAATGCACTCAAAATTAAAAACTTACATAATTCTAATTAACTCTTTAAATAAATACCACTACAATGACTATAATGTTATTAAACTATTTACAAATCACTGCATTTTTCTTGGTGATTTTAAACCCAAAGCTTTAAGTATTCAGAGCTATAAATGACATCTGTTTTCTCTATCACTTTGAAACTGCTAATATCCTCTACTAAGCAACCCCTAAATTTACTCAGAATATAACACCTATATTTCAGCATGAAATATGCTAGTGTTCCGAGTGTACTGTAGGATCTGTTATCAGAAGAGAAGAGAGGTACACCAGGCCAGTGTTGGCCTTGGATGCCCACTCACCAGATGAGCACTGTCTTTGCCTTCCTGGACTCGCTGGCCCTGAGGTTCAGCCACGACCTTAGCGTCCTGATCAGAAGTCATGAGCTGTTTACTTTGTGGCTCCACTGGGAGAAGTTTAATGCTAGCCGTAGGATGCTGTAAAACAAGAGACAGTAAATTGGTAACTTGAGGTGCAGAGTGTAATTAATTCTAAAATGATATTATTAAGCAGTTTTAAAAGCTTCAAGTTTTCCAGGACATATGTTTATCCCTCTGGAGTCTAAGTAGTTTAAAGAAATTTGCCCATAATTTCCACCTGACGCACCCAAGAAATAATACTTGTTTTTTAATAAGTTTCTTCTTCACACTGATTTGGTAACCATGATAATATCCTAAGACTTAGAAACTAAATGCTAACATATCCAAGCCCACTCATGTTCAGAAAGTTATTTTTTAAAAACAGAAAATTACAAAATTAATAGAACTCCAATTTGGGATTGATGAATCCCAAATATATATATATATATATATATATATATATATATATATATATATATATATATATGGTTTTTGACCAGCCCCATTAATTTCATTCTGTTCCAGGAAAACAGCTGTCAGGAGAAATAAACAATAATTCATTTAAAAGGAATCCCTTCGCAATTTCTGAACCAAAGAAACCAAAAACAGTCTAAACAGGGCACAAGTATGCAAAGCAGCCTCTGCAAAGCATTCACTGAGCTCAGAAGCTGGACATTGAACTTCACATAGAGTATCTCATTTGATTTTCCCAAATGGCTTATGAAGTAACTCTGGCTCAGAAGGGATAATAGTCTGCATGATTTCATATTATGAGTATCAGAACCAAGATTCTCAGACATCCAGGTGTGGCTTCAGGCACTCCCTCTTTTCACTGTAAACTACACTGCTTCACAAGATAAAAAAGTTGATTTAACCCAGATTTTTCAGGCTGCTTCTGAAAACACATAGTATCCAAGTGGCAGATAAAGAAATTTAAAAGCTAACTGTTCTTGTCTCGCCAGGTAACCATGTAGGTTTTTTTTTTGCGATACGCAGGCCTCTCACTGCTGTGGCCTCTCCCGCTGCGGAGCACAGGCTCTGGCCTCACAGGCTCAGCGGCCATGACTCGCACACGGGCCCAGCCGCTCCGCAGCATGTGGGATCTTCCCGGACCGGGGCACGAACCCGTGTCCCCTGCATCGGCAGGAGGACTCTCAACCACTGCACCACCAAGGAAGCCCACCATGTAGGTTTTTAGTTTCTATTATGGCACTCCTTATTCTCAATAACCTGCTTGTGATAAATTCTCAAAACCCTTGATAATAGTCTGATGGTCAAAGGTGATCTCATCCTTTGTCAAATGTATAACATCATCAACCACAAAAGCACAAAATCACTGAAATGCTATAAGACACGTTTGGAAATGTAAACTACTAACAGAGGAGAAATGCTTGAAACAAATTAAATCAGTTTCACAGAGATCAATGTTTTCCACAATGTAGGACGAATGACAAATATGTTAAACTGTAATTATTTGCAATGTGTTAAATTGTAAAATCCTGAAAATATAGATTGGTACCCAGACTGACAGTCACAGAATGGGGTGTAGATGCATTTTACCACTATTAACTTGATTTTTAAGATTACCAAAGGAAAAAAAGTTTGGTTGAAAACAAGATATGATACCCAAAAGAGAAAAAAAATCAATAGTCCTTTATTATATTTACTACCTATATTTTTTCAGACAGTCAGAAATTATGTACCTTATAATAGAAACAGCATCACTACCAGATAGGAAGTAGTCTTGCAAAACAAACAACAAACCCAGGACGTGATCTTATTACAAACTTGCAGCAAGCACAGGCACAGAGTAATGCCAAGGGGTTCAGCGAAGCTCGCAATTCCTGGATGAGTAGCCTTGGCTTCTTCAACACAAAAGGAGACAAGATACACATACTGGCCAAACTATGGCTTTATTTTGTTTATATGGCTTTATCTGATGCAAATAAACTGAAACCAAAGACAATCAGGGAAGCAATAGTGATGGGATATTTGACAGTATTAAAGAATTCCTGTATTTTCTTAGATGTCATGATATTGTGGTTATGTTTAATAATAATAATAAAAGTGAGCCTACCTTTCAGAGCTGCATATTTAAATACTTACAGGGGAAACACCATGATGTGGGGCAGAGACATGGAGGTTCACAACTGTTCTTCCCAGAAGAGGTGAATGAGGGTTCATGATTCGACCCCGTCTACTTTTGTATGTTTGAAATGTTGTATAATAAAAGGTTAAAAAGGTAGCCATGGCAGTAGTTTATATAACAGAACAGTGGTCCTGATCTGACCCATGCATCCTATCTATAAACAAGTAATCTTTACATCACACGACTATATCTCTTTATTACTGACCTGACACACTTTTTTTTTTTAAAAAAAGTCCAACAACTGGAAAAGTTGCCAGAAAAAAACCATAATTCAAAAAGACACATGCACCCTAATGCTAACTGCAGCACTATTTACAATAGCCAGGTCATGGAAGCAACCTAAATGCCCATCAACAGACGAATGAATAAAGAAGATGTGGTACATATATACAATGGAATATTACTCAGCCATAAAAAGGAACAAAACTGGGTCATTTGTAGAGATGTGGATGGACCTAGAGACGGTCATACAGAGTGAACTAAGTCAGAAAGAGAAAAACAAATATCGTATATTAACATATATATGTGGAATCTAGAAAAATGGTACAGATGAACCAGTGTGCAAGGCAGAAGTAGAGACAAAGATGTAGAGAACAAACGTATGGACACCAAGGGGGAAAGCAGGGAGTGGTGGTGGGGTGGAGGTGGGATGAATTGGGAGATCAGGACTGACATATATACACTAATATGTATAAAACAGATAACTAATAAGAAAAAAAAAAAGTCCAACAACTGGAAAAGTTGCCAACAGAAGGGGTTACTGATATGCACCTCATTAAGCAAGCTGTACAGAGATACAAAGCATTAAAATTTGCATTAAAATTAACCTTATTATCAAATATCTGAATCTGAAATAAGACTAGGAGTATGATGAGTATGATGATGAATATGAGTATGATTGACAACAGTTCCAATAAATAACAAAATAACTTTTTCATTACTTGTTCAAGAAACCAAAACTATTTTAAGACTTACCACTATACAAACTATTGTTTCTTGGCATAAAGGTAGGTCTCTAGGTTGTGAAGACAAATAGGCAAGGGGGGAATAGATCTACTGTCAAAGCAAAATATTTCCTGGCATAAGACCTAGTAATGTGACAACCTGATAGGGGTCAGAGGCAGCTTTCACAAAGCTTTAACGAGCTGAACAAAAGGAGTCATTTTCCTGATTTGATTTCATTTTCTCTTTACAGAAAAAACAAAGAGATGAAATCAGAGGGCCCACCTGCCTACTTAGTGGCCTTTCTGCTAGCAGACCTGGTTAATTCCATCTGTCAAAGCTCCACCTCAAAAAGTTTTATTAACCTTATTAACTACTTGGGAGAGTATAGTTCTCTTAGTTCTGTTTCTAAACAATTCTTTTCACATACACCTGAAATGTTTGTTTCATAATTAAATATTTATTTAGGTCTTTTGGGACAAAGAAATCCTTAAAAAAATATAAATCAATTTCAAATAAACATAACTGTATATCAAAGTGGCATAAATATCCAGAGAAGAATTATTCTAAGTGATATTAAAAGATAGTATTTGCACACAAAATCCTAAAAACTCACCAAGAAATCTTAAAATGCACCCAGTAGGCTTGTTCTTTGGGGTAAATGTTGGTATTATTTTGAAACTATTTTACATATTATATACACACATATACACACTGTAATACGATAAGGTAAATAAGAATTACATTAAGTATTCATTTTTAGCATAAAAGGAAATACAAACATAAAATCAAATAAGCTAGGTAAGATCTACATAATCTTTTTTTATTTATTGTAAATGTAACTTTTTAAACTACAGTTGGCCCTTGAACCACGGGGGTTGAGGTGTGTGGGTCCACTTATATGCAGACGTTTTTCAATAAAAAATACCAGAGGACTACACGATCTGGATCTGTGGTTGGTTGAATCCAAAATGCAGAACCAAGGATACCAGGGTACAAAACTGTGGATATGGAGGGCTGCATGCCAAGTTACATGCTGGTTTTCGACTGCATGGGAGTCAGCGCCCCTAACTCCTGCGTTGTTCAAGGGTCAACTGTATATTTTCTTTGGCTTTCACTAGTTTTTCTACTAGTATCCTCCTTCTACACCAGAACCCACTTTAGGATCCCACACGGCACTGAGCTGTCACTTCTCTCCAGTCTCCTCCAACCTGTGACAGCCCCTCAGTCTTGCCTCCTCATTCAGCCACACTTTTGCAGAACGTTGCTCAATTTGAGATGAACCTGGCACACCTTATCATGACAGCAAAGAAGTGCTCCAAGACTCCTGTGGTCACATCACAGGAGCAACAAGAAAGGAAGGGAGGGGCTCCAGATGGCCAAAGACAGAGAATGTGAGGGGCACAAAGAAAGAATGGAAACAAACATACAAAAATCCGCAACAGTTCAAACGCCACCACTATACTAGTCACTTCTGGATGCTGTTATGATACCAACTTCTTTTTCTGAAGATTACTCTAGGAAACAAGCATCAGCCTGCCTTTCCTGGATGACTGTTTCAGCAAAACCAAAGATCAGGGCACACAGTTCACTATACAGGAACCACAATTAAAAACTCATAGTGAATAACAGCATTAGAAAATCAAAATGTTGCAACATCTAATGAAATGATGGTTGATGTCTGCTAAAACTAGGGGAAGAGCTGATGGGGAACTTATAATGATTGGCTCAGAGGGACTGAAGCTACTTTTCAATCTTATCACTAACGTGCAACAAGTAGGTATCACACTCTTAATGGGACAAAGAGTATCAGATCTATGAAGTATTCTTGCCAAAAAAAAAAGAACCTGTATTCAATCAAACCTCTATATCCAACTCCCAATTTCAAGGAAATTCTGGGAACACTATGTGTTAAATAACACCAACACAAAGCCACTAGCTAAACCCAAAACGTGGGGCATACTACAGACAGATGCCCTCATTTCTA